GCTTAGCTAACTATATTGTTATTTAAAAAAAAGAAAGCTTCTTATCACTTGCTTATCATTTATCTTTATTATGACCTAAGCCCTTCAACAAATACGGCTTCATTTACTTTCCACAACACAACAAAATATGTGAAAAATTGTCGAAAAGAAAACTTGAAGAAAGAAAACTCTGATGAAAGGCAACTTCCTTGTGCGTGGCCTTTTCCATTTTCCCTTTCATGCGCCATTGTCATTGAAACTTGGGCGAGCATAAAAAGCAATACACAAACAAGTTTGTTATTTAGCTTTTGCACCTTTTACGCAACGTGGCAGCTGTATTTACAATGTGGCATTGTGTGGCAGGGGCACAAACAAAAACGCCCCTTTCCCATTTTTAAGAGAAAACTGTGAAAACCTAACCAAAGTGCGCAATGATATCCCTTATTGGAGCGTGTCGCTGTCGCGAGGGGCACGGGGGCTATTTATGGTCCGGCCTGCGACTTGAATGAGTTGCAACTCAATCTTTGCTAATTGATTGCCATTAAGTGGTTCATTTTGAAGTCCACCAGCCTAATCCTTATCCTCATCGAGAGCATCTGAGTAATGCCAAATGCCAATAGTCCGGCGCGCACAAAGGAATCTTGTGTCTTGTGTGGGCAAACAAACCGAAAGAAAACTCTGAGCTCGCCCGCACTCATAAAAAAGCGATTTCAAGTTGTCTTCAAGTTCTTCGACACAAACAAAAAAAGAAAAGGAAGTGAAGCAGCTAGACCCAAATGCGCCACAAATCGCTCCACCTTCCGTTCTGGAGTCCTTTTGTCTAGTCTTCAGTGAGCCAAGGCCTATGCAAACATATTGAACATCCGCTCGTGTGGCTGGTCGCCAGGACTTTGGTTGCGTCTTCATTGTCCAAGCTATTTACCCAGGGCAGGCGAAATATTTATTATGCCATCAAATGGCAAAAGGCAAGGCGCTTCTCTCAATGAGCTTTGCTCCTGCCCGATGACCACCATTGTACATAAAGCTCCTCCTGCTGCATCCTTTACGCATACATTTCAATGTAGGGTATTATGCTAGGGTTAGGGCATTGTGGTTTTCGGATTACCTTTGCTATGGCTTCACATCGCCCAATTCTATGCGCATCGCAGTTGGTTAATTAATGGTCATAAAGTAGCAATTGAGCTGACTGATTATATATGGGCGTGGTTAAATCAAGCGTCTAAGTGGCTGTAGCTTCTTAGTCCTATTATAAATCGTTTGCAAGATTGATTTGTGCAGCTCTTTATTTAACATAAAAGCGACAACGAAAATTAAATGTAAAGATATATACTGGAAATGTTTAAAATAATTAAAAAATAATTAAATTAAATATTTAAAAAGTCATCAATTATCAAAATATTCATAAAGTAAATAAAGTTATCATAATAATAATTATGATAATATCAAAATAAAAAAATAAAGTTATGCAAAAAATAATTGCCAGGAAAGGAGCATATGAAAGTATAAATATAATATTGATTATTGAAATAATTAAATATATATACAAATATATTATATAAATTATTATTATACATTGCCAAGATTTAAAGTATATAATAATAATAGTTTTGCTTATATAGACGAAGGCATAGAAATTCGGAATATTTTATTTATAAAAACATTTATTATTGCGATTATTATAATTATTATTTAAGATAAATTAAGTTTTTAAATATTGGCCGAATGAAAATTCAGATTATTTTATTTTGTATTTCGTTCACCGGCTAGAAATTTTTTATTGAAACATTTAAATTTTTTATATATAATTTTATTTAATATTAATTTATTAAAATTTACAATCCCTTTTTATTTATTTATTTTATTTTTAAGTTTTATAATTATTTTTTAAAATATTTTTTATTAAAATAATTATTACAATGAATATTATTATTTAAGATAAATGAACTTTTTAAAAGGTTCGGCTGATAGTTTATAACTTCATATAATTTTATATAATAATAAATAACTTATTATTATTTTCACAAAAACATATAAAATAAAAAAATTAAAAATAAAAATGAAACAACATTCAAAATCAAAAGATTCATAAATAAAATAAATGATAAAAAAATAATATTTAAATGATTAAAATAATTACTTATATGCAACTCGTAATATAAAACATTTATTTATTTTATTTCATTTCAAATATCGTATAATATTTTATACCCAAAAACTATCCCAACTATCCACTTTAGTATCGTCACATAACTCAGCTTGCAGTGTGTGTATTTTTCGTGGCTGACTTGGGTAAATAAATTTTAAGTATATTTACTGTGGTCGCATTTTAAACAGTTGGCGTTAGTTTGGGAACTGGGACGCTTTAATATACACTGTGTGCCAAACATATTTAAGGTTGGCAAATATTTAAAATATTTCTCAATTTTGTAATACATTTTTTTTCCTTTCTTTTTTGTTGCTGGCAACTGTTATTATGTGGACCTTTGTGGCTGTCCATTGTGCAGTGGCTGGCCATTAGACGTAATTCAATATTCCATTGAAGCTGGCAGCAGAAAAGTGCGGGGGGTGATAGGGTGGCCGGGGGGAGGTGGGAAGGGGGGAAGGGTGGCAGGGCTGCAGCGGCACATAAAAAACCAAAGGCAACTGCGGCCGCACAATGCCAAATGCCCAGTCGGACGGCAACGTGGACAACGGCGAACATTATGGACAAAGGGCCAGGCGCACAAGATGCTGGGTCGCCAGTCAACCAATTAGGGCTACTCTAACGAAGACTAGCTGAGTCGCAACGCATGCGAGTGCTGCCTCTCTCTCACACAGTGCTCTCTCTCTCTCTCTCTCTCTCTTTTTCTCTTAATAAAAATATATATGCATTTATGTGTGAGTTTTGCTTTCATTTTTGAGCAGCGCGTAACGTAATTTGAACTCATTTTAGAAACCCCAAAAAAAAAGTGTAACAGTGCTTAACTCGGCTAGCAGATACCCTGTAAGCAGATCTAAACTATAAGCATTCGCACTTCGATATAAATGTGTTAACATACACAAACACCAAAAATAAGGCGGCTGTGCTTCTTCTTTCACCAGTCTTCCAACTATGGGAAGTTTATTCTGGAATAACTAAGAACAAGAAATTATGTATATATTAATCCTAAAAAAGCTTGTTATGAATTTGGTGGAGTACGGGGAGGTGGTACATTTGTATATCTGTATTTTAAAAAATTTGCAGTTTCCGATTACCGATTAGGCTGTTGAGCTGGGCCAGAATATGAATACCTTATGTCTGGGTCCAAGGTAAAAGGTACCAGTTAACGGGGTCTGCCAGGTACGTGCACCTGCATGAAATAATTATGCCCATTTTTACAAATTTTCCATGGCTACAGGGTATTGGAAAATAATAAAAAATTGGGCATTGTTTATTAGGGCTGTTTGTCTGTGACATCACGTTATGGCATATTAACTTTTGAGCAAAATTCTTGTCGGTTTTTTTGAGCAGCATTATAGACTTTATTTGGGTTAATCAATCATTATATCAATGCGGACCTTCGTTTGGGCTTGGGCTTGGGCTTTTTCACTGAATTTGGAAATTTGATAAACTCAATAGCTATTTTGTGGACAAAAGAGAAAAGGGATGCCTGCAAAATATTTGGTTTCATAAGTATATTTTGCTAGGCGGAAATAATTAAAAAAAAGGAACTGAAATGAAATCTTGTTGAGAGAGGATGGTTACTGAAAGAGTAAAAAAGCTTAAAAAAACTAATTTTGTAAAATATGTTATCGTTAAATAATTTTTTTTTTTTCATAATAAGCAGTTGTCAGGCTGATGTTTTTAATATTTTTGTATGAATTATATTAACAATTCTATAAGCGAGCTCGTCTTTTAGCTAAAATACGTATACAATTTTCCAGCACAGCTTTAAATTTCTATTTTATTTTAAATTTCCTACCCGTGTCCAATTGTCACTCCGTCTAGATAATTATCTGGGTATAAGCTATATTTCAATTTAATTTATAGCAAAAATCATGTTCTGCTCGCTATCGAAATTTCCATTTAAAATCCAACATCAGCGAGAAATGGCACGAAAAAAAAAACAACTAATATTGGATAATACTGTAGTAAATAGAATACCGCAGCGCTCTGACAACCGCAGAGTTCATTAACATTTTGGTTTTGTTTATGCAAAATTGCATAAATTAAGCCACTGGCAACACGCAACTGCCAAAGCAGCTAAAGGAAAAAAAGTGAAAAAAATATAAATTGAAACTTGTTGTGCTGTGTGTGTGAGTGACTGTGTGTGTGTGTGTGAATAAATACAAATGAATTCGATTTGTGAAACAATAAAGCTCAATGAGATCGCTTCCGGGGCGGCGGCTTCCGTTGACTGTTGATGCGCAAACAAAAATAATATCACGTATACGCCGCATCGGCCAATGCTGGCTGATAGCATTTCGCTGTGTATTTTGCCTTTGATGGAGAACGTGACAAATAATGCAAAATTTTCATGCACTCATTTGAAAAATAGTTCATTTTCATTTTCACCCAAAAGCAATTTGCTATATGTGGGAAAAAAATGTTTGGCATACGTGCGTTGTTTTCGGCTGTCAACTACGCAGAGTAAAGGCCGGATGCAAACTTGGCCTAATCCTGGCCCCTGCCAATGGGCCAAGTAGAGAGAAGACAAAGTCAATTTCAAAGTTCAAATGAGTCGTTTCAATGACTAAAGTGGCAATTGCCAAAGTATATTTATTTTATTGGACACCAAACAGCGACAAGAGTTTGCCAAATTATTGTCATTAGTTGCTGAATGAGTTGCGCTTACAAGCTTCAGTAAACATGCATAAAATATTTGCAAGAGGCAAGGCTTATGCTCATTGTTCGTTCATACAAAAAATAGATAAAACACAAATAAAAGATCAAGCAGAAAAACTGGGCTGGACGGCACCGCGTAAGTCCAGCTAAAATATATAAAACATCACTAAGCTTCTGCGAAAAGTGCGCATCATAAAATATATTGATTTTTTTGTAAATCTCAAAAAATGTGATTGTGTGTGTCGTCTGTGGAATTGCACAGATCAGCGCGCTGACAAAGAGCTTTTATTCAGAGAGTGGACATTGTGGAGGGCGTACAGGCTGCACTTCCAGAGTTGTGGAAGGTGAGTGTAAGGCGAGGGGAAAGGGGGTAACTTTATTTGTTGTCTACTTTAAGCTTTGATTGCATTAGTGCGAATGCCGACACAGCGTAGGCGCATGCCCAATGCCTAATTTAGTCAGTGTGCGTCTGCGGTGTGCTTCGGTCTGCGCGTGTGTATTAAATCGTTGCTAATAATTAAATAAATAATTAAATTCCCTGCTTGTAAAATGCGTTTATAAAATGTTTACAAGCCAGTCAGTATTTTATTTATGCTTCGTCGGTGAAGGTATATTTATTAAAAAGTATAATGTATTGTTTTTGGTGTGGAGCTTTTTAAATAAAATAAAATTCATTTCCAATGGAACTGGATTTCGATTACATACGAAACTTTTGAGAGGGAGCGAGAGAGAAATATAGAGAATAGCTTTGTATACCCTAGCAGATGGTATTTTAATTTTGTTATGAATTAAATATTTGTGTGAAAACTTCTCTGAAATATATTGTATAGAATTATATTATGGCATTTCTATCTGCTGCGGGATGTAAAATCATTGTCACTTATTAATTAATAGTTCGATATGATTGCAGATAAACTACAGACATAAGTGTACTGTTATTTTGGGATTGGCTTTTATATGCATTAATAATTAATATCTATACACCAATAAATTTTGGTATATTTGCTTCTTGTATAGGCTATCTGCCAGTCGATCACACTCACCCAAGCCACGCTCCTAGTCCTGTTTATACCTGTGTCAACAGAAATTTCTATTTATTCGGTTCGCCGGCTTAAACAGGCGACAGGATGCAGGACGCAGGACGCAGGGCTCGGAGCGTCAGTCATTTCATGGCTGCTTGAACTTGAAAGTCGACACAGTTAAATTATCAATTTGAAAGCTGTGGCAAAAGCGCAGAAATGCGTTAAAAATTGATGTCGCTTTTGCAGGCTTTTGGCCATTCACCGTTAATCATGCCGTTAATTAATTAGTTAATTGTGTTTATGGCGTAATTTATTCGAAATGAGCGCGCGCCAAGTGTTAATACATAATGAAATAAAAGCTTAAATGGGATTTGTTGTAAACGATTAAACAAGTGGCTCCTTAGTGTATTAACTGGAATTATGCGACGTTTATAAGCGAAATACTTATGCATTATATGATAAGAGAGAGAAGAGAGATACAAATGTATCTAGAGGAGATTGCGGCATATTTAACTATGAATATGCTTTGTTCAGCAGGCAGCTTAATTACTTTTGCCAATACTTATCAGCTGTAAATATTGTTTGTCTGGCAATGCACAAACTAATTTGTCCAACTTTCCCTGATTCTCTTATTTTGTCGAATTCAACTATCAATTAACTTCATGGTCAGATGCTGATGCTTGTTTGCTGTCACAGACGCAAATTTCAATTACAGTTCAAGCTATTTGTGAGCCATCAATTCATTACAAAATATTTTTCTTATGCAGCCACACGCAGAGATAAACGAATTAGAGATGAGCAGACTAAGCCGAATACGAATCACGAAATTAAAAGATGGTGTGCCCGATAAGAAACGATATGCACGATAAGTCGTGATATAGTGATGTTTTGATCTGTCCCGAGTTTAGTTGAGCAGTGCTAAGTCATGTTCATAAGTCGTGTTGAGTCGTGTTTTGGGTCGTGTTCAAACGGACTGAGTAGGGATAAGTCGTGTTCATTATGTTTAATTGTACAAAGTTATGTTTTGAGCCGTGTTGAGACTTGTTGAGTGAGGATAAATCGTGTTGTCAAATATATTACTTCGTGTCGATGCGTGTTTTGCCATGTTAAGTCGTGTTTTGAGTCGTGTTGGAACGGACACAGTACAGTCCGACGGGTATATGTCCTGTTAGGACGAGTTTAAGCCTGTTGTCGAATGTATTAGGCCGTGTCGATGCGTGTTTTGCTATGTTGAGTTTAGTTTTAAGTTGTGTTGCGACGGATACAGTTGGAATACGTCGTATTAGGTCATGCTTAATCCTGTTTCATCGCATTAAGTCGTGCTGTGGAATGTATTAAGTCGTGTTGATACGTGCTTAGTCAATTCAAATCGTGTTGAAGTGGATTGAGTCGTGCTTTTAGTGCTGCTAATTATAATAATTATTATCATAATTCGTGATAATCGTGTAATGTAAATTTTGTGTTCATCTTTCCGAATCGTTTAATCGCATTATTGTGCTAAACTCGATTACGCATAGGTACAATTTTTCAATAGAAACGCAGTCGTGCTTGGTCACGCAAAAGTAACACGAGACACGCTCAACTCTAACAGAGACACTTATAAGTGAGAAATAGAGACAGATGCAGATGATATTTGGCAACAATTTCCTGCTTATATGGCAAACAACAATTTGGTTCAATTAACTGCAATTAAAAGGCCTTGCTTAAAATGAAAGGTAAAAAGAGCGAGAGAGTGAGACAGAGGGAGAGAAATAGAGAGACTGTGAGTAAGAGAATGTGAGACTGGTAGAGAAAATTGCCATGCAGACTCCGCTTGGCTGCACTCAATTAGTCGCATGCCAAATGAAGCTACAGCATTCAATAATTTTGGTCAAATGAACCAAGTGATGCACTGATAGATTGATAGATTGATAGATTGATTGCCCTGCGATGGCACCATTGAAAGACTCGCATTTCAGCTCAATTAGCTTTCAATTAAATTCAACTCGCAGCTGTCGCAGCTAGTTCAGGACATGCAGTTGGTAAGCAACATCAAAAAATAAATGTTTGCCTACTTTTAGTCCGGCTCATTGTGGGGCAAGCGCGGAGAGCGTGTGTGTGTGTGGAGCACATGAGGCGTCACAATTACATAAGTAAACAAACACTTTGGCTGGCTCGTTGCCTCGTTGCAGCCGGAACAATGTGCTACAATTTAGCAGTGTGCTCGGGCCACGCCCGTGGGCGTAATAAACACTTGACCCATAAACTCCACAAGTATGCTCCACGTGCTGCGTGAGTGCAATGAAGTCCAAGTCAAGTGCGCACGTGTAAGCTTAGACGTTGAGCCATTGAGGCATTGAGGGATTGAGGGAGGTGGTTACATGCTAATTTGTCCATTTGTTTGGCTGCTGCTGTTGCTGCTGTTGCAACTGATGAGAATTGCGAATGCCACTTGCTTTGAGCTCATCCCCTTCCCCAACTTCCCTCGACTTACGCCTAACTTGGCCCCGCGTGCAATTAAAATGCTGAAGCGCTGTAGAAAATTCTGTTTCCGAGAGCGGATCGCAAGAGGTGTGTAAAATGTTTTTCTCATTTATTTTCAATTTCATTAAACTTTGTGCCCGGCCATTTGCCGGATGTCAACGTGCAATGTGCAATGTGCAATTGCAGGCAGCAAAACAAAACTTATAATTGGTTTTACTGCTTATTTATGCCGCATTTCTTTTACCCAAATACCCTAAACAAAATGAAGAGTATAAATAATCTCTTGGAAGCTATGCGGAATTCTGAGAAATTATATATCTAAGTAATCAAATAAACTAAATAATTAAATTAACAATTAAAAATTGATAAAAATTGCCAGTTGTTATCTTAATTATGATTTGTTCAAAAATATTGTTTTAATGAGCCTTAAATTTAGGCAACTGAAGAGTTTTTATTCTAGCCCAAGTCCACATAATAAAGTGAAGAATATAAATATATTAATGATATTAATATTTTAAATATATCATTATATTACATTAGAACTAGGACTTTATGTCCAATTTAATATTGTATCTTACATTTTTATATCCAAGTGCAAGTGCTTGTACATAGTCTTGTTTTTGTAATTCTTCGCTATTTGTTTACAGTTCCCTTTCCACTTATCCTGTCTAATCCTTTGGTAAGCGCATACACTCGTCGTTGTTTTGCATAAGGCTTAAGCTCGGGCTCTCTGAGTACCGGGTACCTGGTACGTTGTACGAGTAAATGCAATTACAGCATAAATCTCTGTCATTAGACTTTGTTTGTTGGGCAGTCGTCGCTTTAGCCCCCGTTCAGCTTACGCTTAGGTGGGTCAAGCTGGGGGTCGAGTGCTAGTTCTTGCGGTTGCTGCGTTCTCCATGGCGTATGAGTTATGCCTGCGCACTGCTTGTTGTTGTTGTAGTTGTTGTTGTTGTTGTTGTTGTTGGGTAGCAAACAACGCCGCGCATTTAATAAAAACCTGACAATAATTCAAGGGTCCATACACACACACACACACACACGTACGCACGCAATGAAATGTTATGAAAGTCCTTTGGCTTTGCTCATTTCTCTGATTTTCCTCCCCGCGCATTTAAGAATTTCATGCACGTTCCAAGGACTCAAACATGTCACTCGACATTTTATTAACTCAATGGGGGGTGTGCCAAATCTCAGCTGTCAATACAACCAGATATTAATCAGAAGTGCCTGGCCTGCATCCATTGTGGCATCTCCCAATCGAAACGCCCCGCAACCCCCGAAACCCCCCACAACCCTTGCATGTATGCAAAGTATTGTGTATTAAGCGCTTCAGCCGCCGCACATGGCAGGCATATTAAAAAGAGTGCCAGACCCAAACACTCAGTAGGTAGTCGTGCCATCCATCGAAAATCGGTTGAGAAAATAAATGTAGGAAAAAAAGTGCTTTATTGACAGGTGTCGATTAAGAATTTAGCATTATTTTCTTCTTTATTTTTTTGGTATTTTGCTCGTATAAAAAATTTATTACACGCACGAAAACACACAAACGTGTCGCATTTGCAGTCATTGGTGGGCGGATGAGGCGGGCGTGGCTTTTGGAAAGAGTTCGCTGATGTCGTGACATGTTAAATAAATCAACCATGGAACGCTCCGCATGCCGCCAGGGCGCCCTTGCCGCAGCTGCGTTAAGAAAACGCAGCGTATTTGAGGTTAACATGCGTGGAGACTAGAGAATTCTTGTGGTTGCGGATGCTTCTGTGCATGACTGGCGAGGGGGTGATGGTGGGTGAGGGTGAGGGGGGGGGAGGGGCTTGAAGAGGGCTGCACACATGGCAATAGCATCTGTTGGCAGACAC